ATTCGAATCCAAACAAAGTAAAACTGCGGACGTCTTTCAGTAATGAAGAAGAGGGAAATATTTCATTGCGCAGGCGTAATCACATCGGCAGCCAACATTATGTGAACAATCCTAACAACCTTGCAGTGTTTAATCTCATGGAGATTGAACCATATTTAATTTGTGAAATTTTCGGCCTGCAAAAATATTCCTTTTAAATAGAACCCATCAGTATATCTAAGACAAGATAGCACAATTTGTTCGATCGACAGCAATGGTCAGGACATTTTAATTAAAATGGCTTTCTCTTCGCTTCACTTCGCATGCATAAGAAAAGCAAAACGACACATTTTACTGAAGATAACTAGCAATGCCAATGGAACGCGGGTGCTAAACAGTTCACCAGCAAAACTGTTAGTTTACCAATTCAAAGCACTATATTGATGTTTCTCTAGAAAAAAACCGATTAAACTGGAAACAGTCAGACAAGTAACAGTAGATACATTACTGGTTTGGAATTCGCCTACGCTCATTATATTGACAGTGACATATAATGCCTCTTTTACTTAAGTTTAAATGGTAGTTGCGTACCAATATCTATATAGAGTTTATGGTTAATTGCTTGTCAAACGCGCGTTTATGTTCAAGCAATAGGAGATTTGTTATTCAATTGCTACGCACGAACTCAAACGCACCGAAATGCTCAGTAGGAACAAGCACTCTACATGAACTGCAAGTTTTTCGAAAACCAAAGCAACATCTTTGCAGAACTTTTAAAAAAATTTCGGTACCGCTGTACTAAGCATTGCTCGCGTATCTCAGTGATATAGTGCTTATGGCGTCAACCATGAGCCACTAGGCTCTGAGTTCTAGCCCAGCTCAGGCTATCTCCCCCTGATGAGTCCAAACCAGGACGAAACCACGGTCGTGGGGTGCCAGTGTTGGGGTGAGAAACACCAGAATATTTTCAAAATCGGTACCAGGTTTAACTACCCTGGAAATCTCGTTAATGGGATTCACGAATACACTTCTCATCGTGTAAATTTTAACATAGTTCTACGAATAAAGATTCGTATTAGAAGTGCCCCTGCTGGTTCAATATGTCTGGAAGCCATGTGGATTAGCATACATTATGGTGAATTTAATTCAGTAATCCATTTAAGTACCCATAGTCTTCAGCTCAGACAGCATTGCACAACTATGTGGCCTAGTACATGTTAGACTGCATCGGAAAATAAGTTGCACTTCGACAGACATACTATTATCAGATAGAGGAGCGAAATCATCTCCTGAAGAAGTCATTACATTGCGGTATCAAGAAACAAGGAACATTACCAATTAATTTGCAACCTATCGGCTCTCTATTTACGGGGCTTTATATTCCTGAGAGTTTTATTATCAGCAGTTAAAAGAAAGTCCACCTTTAAATGTTCTTACTTATTTTGTAGTATGCAGTGCATTGGGTAGAGTTACTATATGGTATCCAGTGCCGTCGAATATTAAATTTCAGTGATACGGTTACCATTGAGAAAATTCAAGTGATGGCCATATGAATAATTTTTGCTCGGCAAAAATAGTTTAGGTCTAAGAACTGACAGTACCATATTAGGTCTAAAGATAATGCGAACTTTGTCGTTTCTTAGACGATTTTGCGGAGATACTGCATGAATATGGCGCCAACATGCTGAGGTCTCTTTCTTGCCCGAAATAGACCGACAACTTTCGTCTGTTCTAAAGGTGTGATTTGCGCAATCGGTACTGTTTTATATTGACAGATGACTTTAACCAATAAACCCACAAGTATTTTACTAGGCAACCAGCAATGAGATGAATCTACTTAGAGGAATGCAGTTGACTGGAAATATTTTCCAACCATTTTGTTACCATATCTAGTTTAAGAGCAAAAGCTCTGAATAAATAAGTACATTCCATATTTGGCTGATCTTTATGGTGTTAGTTGCTAACCAATAGTCAGAAGAATCTCTTTAATATATCTGGCATTTACGTGTAAAATTTAACAAATAACAAAGTTAATAATGTACACCGAAATAAGGTTTACTCTAAAGGAGTTGTCTTCCGCTATGCCACGTTTCGGTTCCAATACAAAATTACGCTGCAAACTACTGCAAAATTTGGTGGCAGATTATACAATGTAAGTAATTTTCTAAGAAAACATGCACATTATGAAAGACGGAATGCCAAATCCGATGATGTTGTTTGTTAAGTGAATTTTTCTTATCCACGTAGACTCCTACAAAGTCTTCAGCCGCGTTCAATTCTACTGTATTAGAGCCACACCAGGGAATTAGGGCCATTGCTGATAAAAGCCATTTAATTAAATGTCATTTATAATACAGTTATCCAAGTAAAGCATTGAATAAGCTAAAACACAATGGATTGGGCGGTAGGTCGAATTGCAATCGCTTTTTTTCTCTGAGCACTGGACTGAATATTCAAATCGTTCATAGGGTACTAAGTGGTTCGGGCATATCCCGAACTGAAAGAATTATTACTACGTTTGCAAACGGTATGTTTTAGACACCTTAAGATGTAACAGGATAATCTTCCACTTATAATCGTGCAGCACTCTAGACTTTGCTGCCAAGCCTATCCTCACGTAGTGATAGTTTCAGTGAAATGAACCAAGCTAAATTTTCTGTCATGTCCATCATCACAAGTTAGCTCATGTGGACTGAATACTGTTTACTATGGCGTTGCGCTATAGATGATACAGTAATAGCAACACATCTGCGCTGGTATGTGAGCAGGTCATCGACTAAATACTATTACGCAAATAATCCGTACACAACGGAGTAGGCACTTGAAAGGTGAGCACTCAATGAATGTTTGGAAGGATGCTCGTGCCGTCTTGTTCAAGTAAATCCAACACATGATTACAGCTTCTACAAACCGCTAAATACTCCTCAGATAACCGGTCTTGTTATCAATTTTAGCCTTGAATGTTTCTGATGCCGATACAAAGCACTTCAGAGCTTAGTGTTTTATTCGGCAAAATTGTCTGCAAGTCAGGTTTACAAAACTCCATGTTATATATTTTAGGAACCAACATACACAAGGACGTTTTGCAACAATGTGTTTTCTCTCTAGGCTTAAAGAAATCGAATCCTAAAGAACTTGCAAAAGCCCGTCTAATACATCAGGTAATACAAGAATCCAATACGTAGGTACCTAAGCTTTGCATCCAAGAGCCAATCCAATCAGAATCGCCCAGCATGCCTTGTGTGCTTCGTACATTTGCTCAGACTGTTAACTCTGACCAGACGATTCAATCACAGTTCACATCATGTTATTGTATGGCACATTGTTCTTAGGAAAGTAGACGTCGAGGATTCCAATTCGTTACTTAGATATCCCAAGTGAAAGGATCGGCAAAATTATACACTCTCCATTAAGAAATGGGCAGTTGTATATTGTTACCATATGTTCCTTAGGAAAGATATTTTGGCCTCATTTCAAATGACTGATTACGATACTAAATCGATTGTCCTATCGAACAACTATTGCTTTGTATTAATGTCACAAAGTTTGGCTATCCATGTTGATAACTACAGACATAGAAGTGACATGTCAAAGGTATAGCTACTTTTTTATTTTAGTAAATTTCGGTCACTGTGATAAGGAATTTTTCGATTTACTTGCGATTGAAAGCACGGTATAGTGGGGAAAATTTGCGTACTACTTTACTGCCCAAACATCAGGACTATGAATGTTATTTTAGGGTAAATTAAAGAAAAGATATCTAGCGCATTATACACAAATAAAATGGCTCATGTCACCTGCAATGGAGTGGTAAGTCAAAACATCTCAGATTCGATACTTATTCCTATAGAAAAAAGGGTTTTTTCGGCACTCTAAACCTTTTTGGAAATGCCATGAAGGAAGACGAATTGATTAAGAGCAACCATGTATTCATTTTACTTAACTCTCTTAGAAACTAGTTTGACCGATTGCGCGGTTTGGCTTAAATAAAATACAAGCTGCTGACTTGAATCAAACTGAACACTAAGTTCATGCTGAGTTTTAGTTTGTATACTACAAGCCTAACATATAGGTTACGATAGGATGATTGTTAAGACATGGCATGGTTCAATTGCTCAGGGGGATAACTGACCTGATCAATGGAGCAATGGTACAATGGAACAATGGTATATGACGGGTAAAAAAGCATACACTTAACGAGTCCCGCAGGTTGGCAATAGAAATACTAACAGATTGGCAACCACATAAGTGATTGAAGTAAGGAGCGTCAGTGAGATAAAAGGTAGAAGTATAACAGTTTTAGGGGGATAAAGTGGTACGACGCAAAACTGGCTAAGAAATTGTTATCGTTGGTGATGGTAGCAAATAAAAATGGAGTACTCACCGGTTCGCACAGATTTACGACCGTGAATTTGGGGTATAAATCCAAAGAGGCTGGTCAGCCTAAATATATACAAGCGTTTTCGTTCATAAAACAAAGCGCAGGGGGCTCAGTGCGGACGGTCGAACGGCAATCTTTGGTAGTCGATGTTACGATGGCAGTCAAGTGCAACATTGCTTTGCTGTGCAGAAAACCCCGCTTTTTAATTGCGTTTGAAGCACCGGGAAGCTCGTGGGTATGACACGACAATGATAACACTTAAAAGCAATCTATTTTAGTAATTTTATGCGCCCTATTATTATTTTTGCTATTACTTTTATGGTTGGTAGGTGACAGAGGTCGTTAGGCCAACGTAAATACTACACGCAAATGATGTCACTGAGCGCGCTTAAGTTTGTAAACCATGAAAACATAATATTTTAGCTTAGAACAGTTTGTCACAGCAAAGTACTTCCACCGATATTGTGGATTGGATGCACTTTCTTTAAAACAGGACCTTAAATACAGGCATTAAATCCGATTTATAGTTTCATCTTACCGGTATGCCTGTTTCTATAATTTGTAACTTCCGTTTCGCCGTTTAGAGAACTTCATTGAATGTCATCATCACGATGTTCTTTACCTATATTCTCCTTCAAAGCTCGATGACTCGCAGCTGGCAATCCGTTTGGAACCACTCGCATGGCACGTCTCCTACGCTCTAGTGGACTTCATGTACGCATACAACTGGAATATGATTATTCTGGTCTATAACACAATGGTATCCGGCTCCAGTACCCTGGTAGAACAGATGCGCGAACGTCAGGCTGAACACAGTGTCCCCGACAACCCAAAATACTTCCCGTAGGTAACCGTGCTAAAGTCTGTTGTAGTAGTGAAGTTCGAGTCTTTTGCTTGAAGAGAAGTTGACGATCCCTTAATCATAGTACAAACAAATCGTTCAAAATACTCCGTGCGCTCATTTGGGAGAAGCTGTCAATTATTAAACTCTGCCAGTATTAACGTTATTGCCTGTTACACCTGTCGGCTTTGTATGCATACAAAACTGCAAGCGTTAATTCACCTAACCATCCTATCTCCGTTTGTCATTGATCTGTTTGACGCACAGTTTTTGTAAATGGTACGTGATGAAACCTCTCGATAAAACCGCAGACAGTTTTAAAGGGAACTTTAGCCGTATCTGGAGCACATGAATGGGTGGGGTTAGTAGCCTCCAAAAATGCAAACGGAAAAGGTTTTTCTCTTTTTATAATGTTCATACACATAGTTTCAACTATCTCAAGAATAAAATCTATTGCCAGCAACGATATAGCCCGTAAACGTTTATTTCGATTTTAGTACCCTATAAGCTAATAGAATAAAGGTAGCTAAAATCTGTGGTGGCATGTGATTTATGACAGGTACAATCCGACTTTTGTTTATAATAGCGACGTATCACATGCGAGGGAAATCGAAACTTATGAGAATGCAATTTTGTTAGGTTTCAGTTCCATTACCAATAGGACCTTCCCATGGTAATTTTATAATTTAACTACTTGTCAGGTTAATCGATGCACACACAAACATCAATAACAGATTCGCCTAATATCATGAGCCCAAAGTCAAGTAATGTGTGTAATATTAAGGATGAAATACTAACATTTGTGTTTACATAAACCGATGGTGTCCGAAATAATTGTGACAATAAAGTAGTGCATCGTGTACACTCCCACATGGTTGAGTAGACTATTTTTCCGACACTACAGTGTTTTCTGAAGTATAAGATACTTGAGGTAGTAGGGTTTGTGAAGTTATCTATTATCTGTTCTGTTCTATGTTGCTCTCTACATGATATTAACTCTAACCGTTTTTTTGCACTGATAAATTTATGTGCCTGAAAATCCTTTATTTGTTTGGATCCACTGGTGAATTTTGCAATTTCGATCCGGTTCACACCTCTGCACATAAAGAGAGCAACACCATTGTTTTAAGCCTTGCTAGAAAACCACTGATTTGGAATGATTCTTGCGATTGCGAATAATCACTTCATATTAAGAAGGACGTCTCCAAATAAAAATTCACATCTACGATGTAATTCGCAGTATTGCATTTTTTCATGAGATACCTACATATTTCTTGTCCCGAATGTGCGATTTTGTTACAATACGGAGCATTCTTAATATGCTTAACTGAATCCTGTAGCAATTACCGTTTGCGTTAAGATAACTCACTTGTCTCGCTTATATTCATAACAGATAATAATAGATAGTTTGACAGCTCGTTACGCTGAAGTCAGAGAACTAGGAACATGCAAATGCCATGACTGTAGGTTACACAAAATGGTCGGTTGCACTAAAATTCCTTTCTATAGATCAGCAAGCAATCAAAATTTAACAGAATTAAATTCATAATTCCACTCGAGTTAGTATCGTCTGCTGTAGTACAGGTAACTGCTGATGATATTTGTTGTTTGATGAGGAATATCACTTGGCTGTCAGTGACAAGGGAAATACGCTATATGATGGTCATTTGACCATGCAAATATGAAGTAATTGCAGTTAATTACTCTTTATATCTGCCCACACTTTGACCGCAGATTTGAGATCACTCACGAACTGGAGTTTACTGGTTTGAATGCCACTGGTTACAATTTATGCATCAAACCGTACGAACGGATTCTTCGGCCATGTATGTGGCCTATGGTGAATATTTTACATCAAATATGGCTGGCTGACGCCAGAATTGTGATTTTCAACGGAGATTTGTGAGTGGAACTCATTATTTTGTTTAACCGGTTTGTCAGTCATGTTAATGTTTCTTAACAATGGCCTAGAGTTTCTTTTTATAAATACCACACACGGTACATTGGTAACTTTTAGGAAAATGAGACTTACAAGATTTGAAGAATAGTTGCCCTGATGGTAATTGCATCTTATAAGATGGCTTGGGTCATGCGTGATAATAGCAAGGAAAATGTTGTCCAGCGAGCATGTAATTAGTCAACCTTAGCAGCGTACAGTGCACAACCGGGCATTGGTTGGCGATCTCGCTATATGGCAGTTGTCAATCACGGATATCAGTCTAACACGATCAAATACAGGCTAGTGGCATAAGTCGATGACTCGATAGCTCTTGAGTTCGATCAGTTAAGCTGTCGTGGATTGTGCACCTATGATGAAACAATTATACGTAACATTTATCCGGCGTCTCTTTATAGTGCATGAACCCGTTTGGCTAGGATATGTTCACATGGAACCAGGTCTACATTATGTCACATAATGCCCGTGGGGCAAAGCTTTTGCGCCCATATTTTACAAAGTGATGTACCTCAATAAGGCTGGCTCAACTAGAAACTGCATGGAATGTGTATCGATTCATGCGTTTATCCTTGGCAGTGAGTGAAATTTTAAGAAAATGAAGTTGCTCATCTGCTCGAACTTAGGTACACATTTATATTGCATCTACAGAGCTAACACCAACGGCAACGCCAATTTTTACACGCTCTGATAATGCGCACATTAAGACCAAGCTGCGACAAGGATTATGTAGATATCAATTTACAACTCGTAATTCCACCACGATATCTATCATGTTATGTCAACAAGCGGCGTGACAATTACAAATGCTCCAGGTGCTTGTTGCATTTCTTTCTAACTCCAAGTAGGCTTGTGAGTGAACTCCTAACTTATCGTTGACTTGTCTAAAATAGTTTTCCAGTATACATACTAATGCGGTGAGGCATAAAGAGAACTCGTTTTCTCTGTTTATTTCACCTTCGTTTCTGGAGGAATTGAGGAACCGCACTGTCTAAAATTGTTCAAGGATAGTTTGAATTAGGTTGTTGATGAGTAAATCTGCTGTAAACCACAAATCTTTTCCACTAGAAAATCGTGTAGTGTCAGTTATACGCTCTATTTCATGTCCGTTTCCTTTTACGTTAAGTGCGAAGTAAGAACCTACTTGAGACAACCTCTTGAGATGCACTTTTTCATCCGGTTAAATTTTTGAGCACTGAGCAGGAAAGATTACTTCATTTTCACTATAGCGGTTGAAAATCGATCTGCTAGGATGCTGGAGCAACTTTCTGCTTCCTGCTGTTTCCAACTGATAACATCATTATTATCAATCGATATGTCTGAAATATATGAGAAACAGCTCATCCATTGTAACTCAAAATGTTGACATGTATGAACTAATCAGGAACAGGTGTGTTTTACTCATGTGAAAGCTCTCGTAAATAATGCAAAGCTAAAAGACGCCCAGAATTTGCATTATTCCGCTGGTAGTTTGTCACAATTCGCTAAAGATTGTCTCGGTGCATGTATACTGACCGATTTGTCTAGACCAAGGCATATGCCTAAATAAACACCAATTAACAAATGCGTAGATTACTGCCCAATTGCTGACCGGCGTTCTAACTTTACTACCTGCGGAAAAGTATTTCTCCAGTTTGGTAACCGGAAAAATTACATTTTCTGCTTGAAAATAGATATGTTATGCCTTGGCCGTTGAATGACTGAATTTGCGCCGGGCGCATTAGGCCAATTTATCCTAAATTTGAAGTGTGGGCTAATTGATCCAATACTGTCACATTTGTCTCACTGTATCACATTTCAAGAAAACTTCCAAAGTTATTAGTGAACTGCGGTTTGACCAACAATTTTTAAAACGCTAAAGCATTTTAATTAAATGATGTATGTGACGTAACAAGTATAGCAATATACGTAGGTTTGCTGCTGCGTATATCAAATTGCTCCTTTAGCGCGCCTAAGGATTTGTTTTATCCCCTAAACAAATTCATATGTAAAACGTTGCTATAATTGTATTCATCGCAGACCAAAGACAATAACAGTTTCAATCATAGTTTTGTCCCATGAGATCACCACGATTGAGAAGAATATATTCATGTAAATTCTGGTACTTCCCGTTTTCTTTGATGCAGTTATGATTTGAACACGCTACTTTACATTGCCGACAGTCTTAGGAACACCCAATATGAGTATCTGAATGAGTTATTCGACAAAAGATATGTCTGGATCTTTACTCCATCTACCATGAGTTCGCTGACGGTTGCTGACAGTCAAGAAAATGTGTCCGTGGATAATCAGGTTTTGAAGGAATCTACTATGTTTCGTAGGATTCCCGGGATGTTTGGTGAGTTTCAGTTCGTGGTATGCCCATCTACTTTTTGTATACATACTAACTGTTTTTCAAGACACCATCACTTTGTAAGGCAAAACATTTAAATAAGTTGTTGCTGCCACTACCTTATTTTCTGTGCTCAAGTGAGGGAGACAACCTTTATTAGATTGAGTTTCGTATGAAAAACATTAAATGGAAAGCGGTTGGTTGAGTTGAATACCCAAAGAAGCAGCTCCATCTAAGCGCTGTTATCGTTGTTGCCGATGAGAGACCATACACGTTTGCCAGAATAGGTGGAAGGTCACAGACTTTTGCTAATTTTTTCCTTGTCACTCATTACAGGAAATTTCAGTTCCATGAACTAGAAAGTTAATGGTGAAGAGGCCGTGTAATGTGAGACAGACCAACATTGCATTTCGTTTTGCAAATGATGTGCCGTAATATTACGCTTATTATAATTTATTTAATTCTGTTAACTTCTGTTCGTATTGTTCATGCAACTGCGGTACACTAAAAGTTGACAAATGCATACCGTAGGAAAGTAAGTTTATAAGGCTCCTCGCCAAAGCAAAAGTTTCATGCACACGCACCTTATTTTTAGTATATATCATGAGCAGAATACTGTGGCCTTATACTGTCCTAGCCTCAGTCACAATAAAAAGATGTACCTATCGTGACTGGAAGCCTTACGCCTAAGGAAAAGGCGTATTAAATGATTGTTTTTTAAGCAAACAGAAAGACGCAATGTGGATTTGCACCACGTAATTGAATCTCAATGAAGCGAAATCGTCACCCTGACATCGAGAATACCACAAGTTTCACTAGTCTAGAGCAATCGTGCACTCTTTGTCTAATGGCGAATCTAGTGCTCGTGTTAGCATCACTTGCAAAGTGAAACGATGTACTTTTAGGCTGTCTGTGCTGTAATCTCACAGGCGAAGTCTACGTAGCCGAAGCTGCTTTGGCACGGGTGGCGGGATACCTTGACTGCAAAATTCTACATGTGACAGATACACAGCCTCGATTACTGCAGATCGATTTCGCTCATAATGGGCACCCGTAGCGAATAATCGCACCTAGTCGACTCATCAAATCCAAACCAATAAGCTTAAACCAACAACGTTATCGATCACAACCCAAACTGCGTCAGCAGGATGGCTAGGATGGGCTGGGTTGCACAAACTTAGGAACCAAAGGAGCAGTGTGAGCTGTTCTGGGCGACACGTGAGAAGGTGATTAGAACGATAGTTAATAATTACGCAGTTTTGTAACTGAATAAAAAGGCTAAAGAGTGAAATGTCCCTTAGGAAGACTTGGTTGAAACTTATGGGAAAGATGTTGTCACTGAACTGAGGTAAGTGCATGTGAACTAAACAGGACGCACAACGAAGATTTGCATTATGTTAATACCCGTTAAAAATTGGCTATATCACTTAGTTTAGACGTAGAAGTGTAAAGTCTGGGTGCTTTTGTAATTGGTAATGTAAGGAGAAAATACATTAAGTGGAGAGATCATTACAAATGTGGTGCACCAGGACAGGGAAACAAGTACAGCGACATCCCAACCGGCCACATTGTATGACGTGCTTTAGCCGATGTCTTCGCGTTATGCTGGAGCTGGAAGCTTTTGAGAAGACCAAATTTACTGTGACAACTCATTTATCAGCAACAACGTTCTTCTTGAGGGAGTAGGTCCATGATTACCGGTTCAGAGTTGGTTTCGGCGGAATTCAGACAGTTCTGTTTAATGTTGTCGATTACATTCTATTGACGCAAGTCTGTTTCAGCAACAAAAGACTTCGTAAACATGGAAAGCGGTGGTTGGCTGGGTCTGAAATATTTCCTCTCCAAGTGAACAGCAATAACCATGCCGTGCTTCCATATATTTGGAAGCTGTAGCTCGTCGAAACACCGCTGGAAACAGTGAGGGTAAATCCACCTATTTTATAACGACTAAGTCTATATGGTTTTGAACGGATATCGCTAGTATCAGCAAGGCTTAATTTGTGCAAATACATTAGTATGTTTGGAAAATCTGCCTTTGAACTCGAAATGTGACTAAGTCTTCTAACTCAGTTATTAGTTAAAACTTATGTCCGACAGTGACAGAACGGCAGGCAGCTTAGGACCACTTCCGAAAGTTAGTGACACGGAAACACCTGTTAACAAATTAGAAGCTTATTTTAGTTAGTGTCTGACTTAAAGATGGAACTCGATTGCTCCTGGTCACCTATCAGTGCTTCATGGGAAGAGACCATTTTGCTCTCGGTGAATGGCAGTCTATGCTGCGTCACATCATTTTAGACCAGATCAGCAATCGAAGTCAACCGTGTGCCCTCTGGCGCTAGTCTGGGGGCAAACGAAGCATATGATACCCAGCTAATTTTTAAGCTAAACTGACCTTTCCTTGTGTCTCAGATATTCTGGACGAATAAATGGGTGCGACACCCATGGACAGACATGGGAACAAGAAAAGTGTTAGTTGAAGTCATCCCTTAGTGGGGCGATGCGAATTACGAGACAGCTAAAGACTGGGACTAAGATGTGAGAATGGGATGTTGAACTCTATGCTTTGTCATGCATAAGGAAATTATAATATACATTTAGTGGCATTCATGATTACTTCTTCTAGGTGTAACTGTAAAGCAACAGCTTCGCACATTTTCACATAATATATAATAAAAATGATATTTTTATTATTGATTAGCAACCGGAAGTTACTCATTATTATTATAAGTAGTATGTTATCAATAATTATGTTTCCTTTTCTCCATGCAAGTGGCAACAGGCTGTAAAATTAGGGTGAATTACTTCTCAGTGCTTAGGGCACCTTAGCTTTGTCTCAACGGCCGAGCCATACCTACTGCATTTACAATTCAGGCAATTCATGAACATGCCTGTGTCACTATTCTGAATCTCGACATGTAAATTTGTGCTTCCACTCTTTCTGTAAGATCAGCGGGCTGCTCAATTTTTGTAGGTCTTACTCCGCGTTGTGTAACTTTCCCTTTGTAGTATGGGGTTGAACTCACCTGAATCTGGGCAAATTAAGGTATAGAATTGACTGAGGTAATAATCGCTGAAGCTTTAAGGCGAATAGGACATTAGTGCGATTACTCACAGTCAGATAACAACCGGGCAAAAGCAATGAACCGGTCCGATGGGAGGAACGAAGAAATCGAACGCTGATCCGTAAACTGAGATCCGACGAAACGATAGAAAACACACACGCACATCAATCCAGAGCGGCACAGCGTTCACGAAACCAGAAAACAAAGGAAATTCGAAGACTTGTCTAGCTGGATATGTGAGATAAAACAACTGTACCATAAATGACGGAAAATAGGATAGGAACTTACAATGAAAATTGCAAAGGATTTATAAACATTACAAAGGGACAAATTTGACACAGGTAAGACAGACTCATGTCGGTGCTGACCGGTTATCCCATCGGTTTTAGCAATATATACGTAGCACTAGTAAGGTAGCGGTTGTCAAATCGAAGGAAAGTGATGAGGACAAAAAGGGATGTCAAAGGCTCTTACACACAACTTACAGAAGCATCTTTTCATATTAGTTCTAAGCTCTCTGCACTGGCGTCGACGTATCTCTGTTCTGATACATAGAAAGCCAACAACTCAAAAGCCAAAAGGTGGTGTATGTAAGGTTAAGCAATACGGTAATTTATAACAGATACTGTCAATGATATAGAGCCGTAAAATGAGTTTGCATATAGACGGGCATTGTGTACAGTTTGTATATACAAATCTAACGAAATTACACTAAATACGCTGTAACATTCTGGAGAGGTCTAATGTTGTGGGAAAGAGAACCGCAGAAACTTCCCTAGATTATAAGAAATAAGAAGGCGGCACTCAGGTAAGCATTACTGGCCGTAATAGAACACGGTGTTTCTTCTCTGCTGCTGTGGGCACTTTCCTGTAACAACACAATCAAGCCAAAATTAATTATGCACATACTCATTAATCAGAGCATCGCGATTTGCGGTTGAAATACGTACTATTTCGAAGTTTACTGTGACTGTTTCCGGTCAAATGAACAGGTAAAAAAGCGATTGATTTACAAGTCCCATAGGATGATTGAAGTGAAAGTAAACATAAGTGTAAATCGTCAATTTAAGCGTCTAGTGAATTCAAGTGCCCCTTATTCATAGAAACACCTGAGTATATGTACTGAATTGTTACTGTAGAGTAATATGGGAAGTAATATGGGAAAGGTATATCTTGAGAACAAAAGGACCGACAAGGCTTACTCGAACGCCGCTTTCTTGGACTGAGGTAATTGATGAATGTAGATGTAATATATCCAAAACTATATTCCACAGCAGTAGTGTGTAAGTAGTGAAGTATAAAAGCTATTAATGAGCACCTTTTGTTCACTTTTTTCGACATAGACATCTCTGATTATATAGCGTAATGTAAGTGGATAAGCAAATCATCCAGACGTCTTTTGAATACCGCTAGCGTGGGGTTGGAAACAACGCACGTGGGAAGAGCGTTCCAATGTTGGCACACAAGAACGGAAAAGAAATTCCGGCGGCATTCCAACCGGCTGTATTGTGTGTCCAGCTTTAGATGGTGTCCTCTGAGTGTGGTATTGCTATTCAGATTTAGTAGGTGACGACCAGAATGGTTTGGATTCCTCAGGATCATATAAGTCATTATCAAGTCGCCACGCAGGCCTCGATATTGTCCACTGTAGACCCCGAAGGTTTTCAGCCTCAATCGGTAAAGGAGACGAAAAAAGCCCTTTACGTTCTTAGTCGCCCTTCGTTGTGGCAGTTTAAGAGCGGTAAGGTCTTGCATTCGCCATGGCTGCCAGGCGTGGATGGGATACTCAGAATGAAGCCGAATATAGGCCTTGAGCATCTGAGAAAAGATGGAAGGATCGAATCGCCCGAATGCCCTCCGCAAAATGCCAAGGTGTTGGTTAGATTTTTTGGAGGCTTTCTCAGCCTGACGTGAACAGCCCAGGTCTTCCTGCACTTTCAC